GAAGAAAATCAAAAGCAATCTTAGACTATTTTTCAACACTCAATTGGAAATTTATGCCTTAAACTTACTGAGGTAGATGAGTTAGACTGCTCACTGCTGCTTCCCCAAAGAAATTTACAGCACATACAACATAGGTACTACCACAACCCTTCCACAAAGCACCATAACCCTGAAATGACAGAGTCCATCACAATCATGATCATTTCAACTTCAAAATGGAAGACTTCTCTTTTCACCCTTTTAAATCCCAGAAGTGATTGACACCCAACTTCTCCCTTTAATATCAATATATTATTCAGGAAACAGGTGATCAGAATACTCAAACTTATACGGTAAGGTAAAGGTAAAGTCTGTTTAGGAGCCTAGTGGCCCATCAGGTGGGTGATTAACTCCGCTTTCTTTAGCATGAAGCGACTAAGAGTATTTCTACTCCCCCCTGGATGGGATGCTAGTCCATGGTAGGGTTACCCCCCAGCATTAGATTTGCCAGTACCCTTTTAAACACTTGGGTGAAGAGAGGCACTGTGAGAGTAATGTGTCTTGCCTAAGAACACAGCACCATGTCCCCGGCCGGGGCTCGAACACCGACCACCCAATCCAGAGTCGAGTGCACCAACCATGAGGCCTCCGCTCCTCCAAAACTTATCAGGTAGAAGTTGTTATCTTGATCTGATACCAAATTTTCGTAACTTATTTACAAGGAAATGTGTAGCAGCTAGATGCGAGAATTCACAATCAGATCTCGGGAGTTAAAGGGTTAAGCATGTTTAACAACAGCCTTAGAGTCTTCCTTTTCTTTCTAAATTTATGTTAAAATAGTCTCACCTGACTTCGTCTTATGCGCAGCAAGATCTGGAACACAGTGAACGGTGCTAAGTGGTACTTTCTGGCACCATGATTTACCTAGTAAAGGAAAATGAGATAAATCAACACAGTTGTAGCAATTCATAATTAAATATGTGACACTGCCTTTTTGTTTTTGAAAGTCAACTTCAAATCAGGGTATGAAATAAGTCCAGGTAAGGGTAAACAAACTTCCTGTCAAATTTATCTATAGATTTGCTTGAGGAACTCTCTTTTAACCCACAGTTTTCACATCTTACTTCTTACATGTAATAAAAAGTCAACATTATTGAATTTATTCCCAAAATAATTAATGCAAACATGAGGGAGGTACCTGACATTGTCTCCTGAAGACAGTGAATGGATGTGTCAGAAACTGTGCAGCAAGAATACTAAGAGAAACAATGTATTTAACAATATTAACAAATTGCAAAATAGTAACCAGCTTAAGAAAATGCACAAATGGAATCTATTGTCCTACCTTCCGGTACCAATGGCAAATCCAATAAGTCTCTGCGTACTTTCTGTCAAGATGAAAAATAGAAAACAACAACCACATAAATTTGTTGATTTTGTAACTAATGAGTGATTAAATTTCAAATCACTTAAACAAATTAATTCAGGAATTCAGTAAACAATTCACCAATTTTCACTCATACTTATGTAGGGTGAAAGTAAGATCTGTTACATTGTAAAACTTAGCAGCATGTGTGTCCTCCCTTAACTTCAAGTTCTGGGTACTTAAATATTCATTATCAGTTACCATGTTGGTTTTTAGCAAGTAAAATTCTCAGTTTGTTAACCTGGTGGTCTCTCATGCTATTAAAATGCAAGGGAGCCCTGTTCCTTACCATTACCTAATTGGTATAAATCAATGCTTATGAGCAGTCCCTTGCCTTTCATACCACTCAAATTGTGTGGAATCTGGTGACTAGTAGTCTAGACCGCAATGTTATTAACCTG